ATGTAGATAAGATTTTTGGAGAAGAGAGATTTTTTCCAATAAAAATTTTTTGTGTGATAAATTTTTAAAAAATTAACAGCTATTTATTAAAAGAGAATAGTAAATCAAAATAACAGTTTTTTTTTGTGGGCAATTCAGTTGGAGACAATATATCATTTTTTTAATGGTTTTAGATTCCTCAGGCTAATTTCGTATACATGTTAAAGGTTTAACTTGTGGAACAAGTAGATGTAAACAATTAAAATATCAGACTCGAATGACACAGTCTGAAAGTATTTAAAATTAACACGTATTCTTGTCTGTGGTCTGCGCTGACTCCTGACAGCCAAGGTCATCCCTCGAATTTCCAAAGGTGGAAATGATTCCAGCTCCAAGACTTCCAACTCTGAAAATTCCTTTGCTGACCTCGAATTTTCCATTTTTCCCAACAAGTCAGGCCACTCAGACATGCTCTTCACACTTACTTTGACCTGGGTTTTCTTAGTCCACAGCGGTCTTCCAAACCTCTGCCATTCCTTGCCCATGGCTTTGACTTTCCTTAATCTACCCATTTTACGCATCTTAAAATTTCCTGGCCTCCTGACGTTCCTGTATTTGTTACTAGGTGAGTTTTGCCTTGGATGATGTCTTGGTGCCCGGGACGTTATTTTCTTCTTCAAATGTGTGAGTGAGCGAGTCGAGAAGCAGGTCTGTCCAGCTGAGGCTCAGAGCCCTTGTGTTTAGCGCTGAGGGACCTTGTCAAAGGGAACTTCAGATCTACTTAAATCCTGGGTGGTTAGGGGTCAAGGAAAAGCATAACGGATTGCAGGGACTAGGGAAGCCATGCAGGGTGTTCCTGGGGCCTGGGCACAAGTGGGGAGGTTAGGTAGCACCACGCAAATGTTTTCTGCACACCTGCTGCAGACGAGGCCCTAGTCTAAGAGGATGTAGCGGAAAACAAGAAGCAAAAAGGCCATTCTCCCCACAGGTTTACATTCTAGCAGAGAATTCGTGATGTTAAGCAACTAAACATAACATATGCTATTCTGATAGGACTTTGCTCTGTTCCTGCAGAACCTCATACTCATAAATCTCCATGTTTGTGTTCAAACGTATAACTGGCTGTTAAATATTCACTAGTCTTTAAAGGAAATAAATATTTAAGGTATGATTCGTAATCTTTTATCAATTTCTTCCATTGTTAGTTAAAAACCCTTTTCAACTTTTGGACTAACACAGTATTGTATATCTTAGATTTCTTTGTTCTCATGGAGCAGCTGGAAGTCTTTCTATGAAATACTTCTTCTTTCTTGACTGTGGGTGACCTCCAGGGCCCTCTTTACGTTTCTCTAGTCATTCGCGGGGGTGGCGTTAGCTTGTATCTTGCTGAATATAAAGCCCTACCTTTCAGTGGTAGAGTTAAGTACATAGGGCACAAGTCCCCGGATCTGTTTACTTATGCGTTACGTGCGAAGGATGATGTCACCATGACCTCGTCCCAGGCTGCAGCTGTTTTGTGTACAGTGGTGAGATCAAACATGACCTCTGAGCCTCCAGGGGAGCCAAGCCAATGGAGAATAATTGATCCTGGCTGCCTAGAGAACTGTTTTGAGATGAGGCTCAGACTGGGGCTCACCAGAAGAGAGGCTCACAGCTCACCAGAACCGCGATTGATATGTGACATCTGCCGTGGGCCAGGAAGGCTAACTTGTATGCGCCAGGAATTTTCCATTCCATATAGATCGACTCCCTGGGAATTGCTTGACCTTGTGGTTTCAGTTTTCATCTCCCCCAGGTATGAGGATCTCTTACTCTGAATAGAATGCTCTAGATACAACTTAATCATCGAGTGCCCTCCCTTCCCAGGAAGTTAAAATGATTTTACTATTCCCAAATAGGATCACTGTCAGCCTGCCCTCACTTGTAGGATGGTCCTCTGAATGTATAGAATACAAGCTATTATTAAGTGATAAAAATTAAGTGGTAAATTCTCATATTTGTCCTAAATTAGAGGTGTATGCTCAGTGCAGAACTCTTGCATAACACGCACACATACACACATCCTTTTATGCATTTACCCTACTCCTTGGTGCATACAGAACTCTTGCATAACACGCACACATACACACATCTAAAACACATCCTTTTATGCATTTACCCTACTCGGTGCACTTTTTCAATCTAGAATAGATTTCTGGATGTTTTCCAATTTTGAATAAAATTACCAGAGTACTGTGCGTGCAGACTGGGTCAGAAGACAACATTTATTTCCAGCGGGTCAGGGTAAATACAGTGCGAAAGTCACCATCCAGACCACATTGCGTTTATAATCACAGAGCCTAAGGGAGACAATAACTTCTTCCTGCTTACTGGCTGGGCATGTGCCATCTGTCCCAATCACATCAAATCCATGTGCCGCTTTGTTCTGATTGTTCAAGTAAAGCTTTGGAAGGCATGAACTTGAGCAGGAGTGGTAAGTAAGGTCTCTTTCAAATGCATGGCACATAAATAGAAGCATGACACACATGTTGGAACAGTCAGCTCTGTGGACGCCCCGCTGTCATGGCCACCACCTCCTTGCTCTGAGTGATCCTCTGTATTGTGAAAGGGCCCTCGCTCCCATCTCGGCTGTCCACCTTCTTAGTAAAAATTCAGGAATGAGGACATTATTACAGTGCCCAGCCTACATCTGGGAGGATGGCCTGTTGGACTGCTTTCCTGACTTATTACATCCGAGTCACTTGTGACTCCAACCGGGGTTGCAATAGCTCCAGCCATTTTCCAGGCTGCCCGAAGAGAGGCATGGTCATAGCACGTTTCCACGCATCAGAGATCTAGGTGACCCAATGCCATTTTGGGGTGACCATCGCTAGATTTATAAAAGCTATAAATCCAAGGAACAGAGCGAAGTCAAAGGGTCAAGGATCACAGGTCACTTTCCAGCGGGGCCAGCTGCTAGTGTCTGTTTTGGCCACCAGCTGGCAGGATCTGAACGGAACAGGCAGGTGGGCAGAGGGGCGGCCTGGGGGGCTGGGCAAGTTCCCTGGGCACACCCGAGACCTCGTCGTCTGCACACTCATAGCGTCCGTGTAAAAACAGTTGGTGGATACTTGTTTACACATGTGGGGAAGCAGAACATTGCACTTGAATAGTTTTAAGGAATGGAAAGGGGTCAATACTTAATTCTCCAGAGTCCTGGCAGGAATGGGAGGGTGTCCTCTGCTTTAAGAAAACCCTTCCGTGGTCTCCTGTGGCCACGGCGTGGTGTGCAGGCGGGTGATGTGGGGTAAACCTGGGCCCCCCACCCCCGCCACAGCGCTCGCTAAGCTTCGGCAAACCAGACTTCCAGCAAGTCTCCACTTAGTAACACTGGGGAGATGTTCAGGGTGACTAGGACAGGCATTCTCCTGCAGTTAAGTTTCTTAAGACGAGGGACACATTTCTTTTACATGTCGTGGACACACTTCTCGTCGTGGACGTGCAGTGGCCGAGCTGGACTTGCAAGCGAAGCAGAAAGCGCTGGGGCTGCCGTGCCCTAGGCTCGCCACCTGCTCCTGCTGTCCGGGCGCCGTTTGGGGTCTTGGGGAAGCTGTCCGGCCGCAGGCTGCGAGTTTAGGGAGCCACGGACGGGCCGGTGCCCGGCCTTTGCCCTGGCTGCTTGGGCGCGGTTTCCGCGTGAACCGGCAGGTGCGCGCTGTTCAGCCGGGAGCTCTGGGCTCCGTGTTTGCGCTGAGACGCAGAAGGGCCTGGAATCGGTCTCCTACCGCGCTGAGTAAGTGACCTGCGCTCTGATCCCTTCTGCTGCCTCCGGGTTCTTCCTTCTCCAAATGCCTTCTCCACCTTCTCTGCTCCGGCGGTTCATTCTATTAGTCTTATTTTGCCAGCTTGTAAACCTCTTAGAAGGCAATCTGCCTGCCCTTCCTGCCTAAGTCCTACAAGGTAAACAGGTCTACCTATAATCCCTATTTTATAGGTGGGGCCAAGGGTAATCACCCGACACGTGATCTAGAGCGCAGCTTCCACGGAGAGCGCGAAGAGTGATACCCGGCCGCTCTCTGGAATTGGACGAGTGCTCATCCTGGGAGCACATCTTTTAGATGTAGATATACATATATGCGTGTGCGTGTGTGCGTGCGTGCGTGTGCGTGTAAATGTAGATTGTGAGACTGATGACAATGAAATACAGTTGAGAAAAGGCTGTTTTCTTAAAAACTGACCACAGGCACTTTAAACACTTTTATTTGACATCTGGATTTCAATCTCACATATATTTGCATAAATAATTTAAAATGATCGCTAATGATTAACCTTCCACACTTGCATGCTGGTTCAG